AGAATAACAGCTCAGAAGTATAAAAACAATGAGAACCAGATGTGGTAGAATATACCCATAATCCTAGCACTCTGAAAGACCCTCTCTCTGAATAAAAGGGGAATGAAGGCCTGGGAATGTAGTTCAGTGTGGAAGTCCTGCATTCAGTCCACAGTACCACAAAAAAAGTACCAAGAGGGCCATAGAAATTTGATAACTGTGATGGGGAATCTCTTCCAGGGCAACATGTCTGGTTGGAAGAGCTCCGTTTTCAGTCTCTATGAAACATTTTTAGTCTTTGTAACATAACTGGCATTTATTGATCCTGACTTCCATCATCTACCCACTCTTCAGCCCACCAAAATTTTGTCCAAAGTATGAGTGGTAGTTCAAAGAAAAATCTGGGGGCTGTGACCAGATGTAAATTGTTGCTGAGCAAGTTAAAACAACAGATGGGAGGTAAGTCCAAACAGTGAGTGTTAAGCTATTCTTCCTGTAATTTTTGCAGAGCTACACAGAAAAAGAAAAGAGGCAGAAGCTTAAGAGGGTTACAGGGTGAGAGAAAAGTTCAGCTGTTTTCTAGCAGCTGGAAGCAAGTAAACAGAATTTAATCTGTAACATAATGAGAAAAGGTGTATCTCAAGGCACAGTCTAACACTCCACTCCCAGGCACACTGAACAAGGAGTATATGTACATCATCATTGACAATCCCCAGTATACCATTCCAATGGATGAAGGAGAAATAAATATTCGAGTGTGTTCTCTGGTGGAATAGAAAAAATTCGGCATGCACAGGAGTCCTTTGATTTGTGACATGACTACTATGAATTTATTTAGTGCTGTAGTCAGGGGTTGCAAAGAAAACAATTACACACAGGACACATAATTTATAGTATTATTTATAATGGTCACCGAGGAATCCAATACAAAGAAAGTGCAGGAAATCTGTCCACAACACTAAAGATCTAGAAAGCACAACCAAGGGCCTGAATCCCGTGGCAATAACCTGCATGAGTTCAGCTAAAAACTTGGAGCCCATGACAATGACCCATGCAAGGTGGAAGTTAGAAAGTCTAGGCCAGCAGGATGAAGGATCTGTGCCAGTAGGTTGAGCATTCTGCAGTAGAGCCAAGAAGCAACACTTAAAATAAGGACCAAGGATCCACTGAAAAGTACCACAGCCATCCTCAGCGACAATGAGGTCCTGGGCTCCTCTGATGATGAGAACAGCCAAGTTCATATCAGGAAGCCACCATGACAAGCTTATCCTGGAAATTAAACAGCAAACATCTTTCCCTCACCCCCAGCCAGGAGGTGAGCTCTCTTTCACAAAAAGTGAACTGCAGCCATTCTCAGCAACAAGGTTCCAAGTTCCTCTGTTGATAACAGCCTAGTTCATATCAGGGGAGCCAGCATGATAAGCTCCTCTAGGAGAACCAATGGCTCCAAATAACACCACCACTTAGGATAACCCACAACACTACTCTTCCTCTCCATGTCTCCTTTTTATGCTGGCAACAGTCCTCAGGTGGGCCATCCACTCTCAGCACTACACTGATTCAGTTGATCTGGTGTTCAAGTTGATCACCAGTTATCAATCATTTAGTCTGTGACTAGTTACATTTAGTCTGGTTTTATATTTTAGGATTTGTCTTTAGTTTTGCCAGTTAGAAAACTGAATGGTAGAGCGAGCTTTACAACAGTGCCCAGCTTGGTAATGTTGTGCTACTCTGGGTATCATTGGAATTTATCAGAATTTTCCAAACTGGTAACAAAGAGAGGCATTAACTGATACTCCCAGTAAAAGTTCTTGACTCCATAGTCAAATACACTTGACAAATGCTGCACACACAATTCTTTTGTGCACAGAAGGTTGTTGCAAAGAAATCCGTTTGCTGGCCTATCAAGTTAGTTACATCTGTATACTGTGAGGCTGATGTCAAAAAGTCCTTAAATAGAGTTAAATACACTGTCTCTGTGTACACCTTTGTCTACAGTCATTGTAAATGCCTGACAACACTGAGTGCCAAGATCATCATGTAGTATAACCAAACTTCTAAGAAAATCAGCCAAAGAAGTCTATTTAAGTGTAATTGTTCATAATGATATCCTATATTAAAAATCAGTCTACTAAACACTATTAAGGCTTTCTGTTCACAAACATCCATATAGACCATAGGCAGAGGCAATATATCACCTGTATCAACCTAGTTGCATGGTGCCTTTGTGAACTCACAGAGCTAACTGGCAGGTTTTCAGGGTTTTCAGGAGGAATCTCAGCACAGGTGCAAAAGGGAGCCCCTGTGACGCTTGGTCTCTGAAGCTAGTAGGAGGGGCTCGGGATGGGTGCAGGTAAAGGTTGAGCTCCCACTGCAGAAGAGGAAAGTTGAAGAAATCCAGATGTGACACCTTATACCTTTCCACTGTACTGGAAATTAGATATAGGAAAGAGGTGGATGACAGGAGCAGGGTGGGAGCTTCTGTTGAGAAATTGGAACAATTACTATGACGAATGATGTGAGACAATGTAAAGACAAAACAAAAAAAGATTATTTGGCAATACTAAGGATTCAACTAAAGAGCAGACCTAATAAATATATAAAGGGGCAGCAGTTTTGTTCACTGCTGGTTGGTGCCCTCGGGACAGAATTGGGAATGATGAAAGGTTGGAATGATGCATTATTAGAGAGCAAGAAATACAAGGAAATTAATGATAATTATGATGCTATTGAAATAATTGTTAATTGGGCCCAGGAAAGTATGAAAAAAGTGAAATTGCAGGAATCATAGGTGCATATGACAATAGTATAATGAGTTTTAGACTTGGTAAAAGTAGAAAGTTGTGATCTGTAGTTTCTTATGGTTGTCATAACAAATCACTATACACCGGGTAACAGAAAACAACGTGTATCTATTCGAATTTTCACAGTTCCGAAGTTCAGACTTCTGAAACAAACTTCTCAGCAGGGTCCAATTTTCCTGATGCTCTGTAGAAGAGCTACTCTATCCCTGTCACCTAGGTTCTGGGGACAATCTTCGGTGTTCTTGACTTACAGATTATTACTCTACACTTTGCTTTTGTTCTCAGGTGATCTTCTTCCCTGTGTGTCTCTTTTCTTAAAAGGACATTGATGAATGGGATTTGAATCCCACCCTAATCCACAGTGATCTTATCTATAGATCTTAATTATATTTACAGAGACTTTTTAAATACGGTCACAATTATGTCACACTCAGGTTCTAGGTGGACACATTTGGAGGTTCATCATTCAACTCACTACATAGTCTTTGAGTGAATGATTGCAGTTAACCATTTCAAAGTTATGAAATTTCAATGACAAAAGCCAAGAAATAGCCATGTGTCAGAAATGCTAACGGGAAAAGAAATGGAGCGATTTGTGGTAAAGAAGATCACATAACTAAGAGGCCAGCTTATTAGATAGCGATGACGTCTATCACAAGAACAGGGAAGCAGAAGACTAGCAGAAGTCTGCGTTCCTGAGGAGTGAAAGGATAGATGTTTTGCCAAGTGTTGGTAATCACAGTATTAGGACCTGGAAAAAGAGGACTGAGGAAAGTGTTTCTTAGCTCTGCCTTATTAACAGAAGAGTTTTTAAAAAGTGTCCAACTTCAATAGTTTAAATCAGTTGCTTTAGGAAAGAGCCTAGACACTTTATTTTAGAGAAAAAAAAAATCTTTAAAACTATTTGCATAGTTCGAATGTGCAGCCAAAATCAAGAAATACTAGTTTGACAGAGAAACATGACCTTGCTGGGCAAAAAGCAGTGGCTGGGAAACAAGGTATTCACCTCCATCAGGGCTGAAAGAGGTCCACATGGGAAGGAGATTGCGTTGCTTCCTGCCTCAGCCCTACAATCTCAAGCAGAGTCAGGAGATCAAATAAATGAGGATGAGAAGAGCGGATAACCTACTCTGACTGAGGGCCCCATGACCCTCGAGTTCTATGCTTCCTGTATTTTACACTACAGATTTGTTTCTGATGTTTTTTTCAACAGGAGAAGATGCCAGAAATCATTTCTGTAACAGTTGCTATTCATGCAAAACAAGCCTTCCCCCATAAAAAAGATTTTCTTAATATATTTGGAGCAATATCTTTTGCCAAAACAATATTCAGTGCTTACTTTGTATTTTTTGAATATGCAATAAATGCATTAAAAATTTCAAGCAGTATAAAAGATTATACAATAAAAAGTAACTCTCGTTTATCCTTGATCTCCCACTTCTACTCCCACCTCAACCTGCCTACCCTGAGGCAACTAGTTCTACCAGTTTCTTGTGTATCCTTCCTGAGATAAACATGCTATACCTTGCCTTTCTATATTAAAAACTACACAGTTGTTCCTTAGTAGCCACTGGGGAACGGTCCTAGACCACCCTTCCAGCCAGACACTGAAATCCACCGATGTTCAAATCCTTATATAAAACGTACCGATGGCATGTCCGTTGGAGAACTCAACCATGATTCTGGTTGCAAACCTAGTTGGACAAGAACGGAATCAAATTCAGTGGTTAGGTTCCCTGTCGACCTTATGGGGAATTTTGATTCAGTTCGTGTCCAATTTAGTTTGCCACCGGAATCATGGAAAGAATTGAGTTTGTGAACCAAGATACCACTGCATAGTATTTGCCTATAATCTATATACAACCTCCTGTATACTTTAAGTCATCTCAATATTACTCATAATTTCTAATACAGTGTAAATGCTAAGTAAGTAAGTAATAGTGACAAGAAAAATTCTGTATTAATGCATGGAGACCTACCTGACTCTTTTAATGGGCTAAGCCACAATTTGTTTAAACCATTCTATGGGTTATTTTCTATCTTAGAGAAAATCTGTAAAAGATATTTCTAAAAACCAACAAGAGTGAAAGTGAATTCTTTACCAGGTGACAGAGGCCAGGACTCTGCCAATAGGGGAGGGAGGGAGCTGATGGTGCAGAGCCTGGGCCTCCTGTCATCTGGGAGCCCCATCTAATGATGTATTGCTTCTGCCTGCAGGAGCCTGATGCCCAGGACCCTGGAGACTCAGATCACACTGGAGAAGACGCCCAGTTATTTTGTCACTCAAGAGGCCCCACGGCGGATCTTCAACATGTCCCGGGACACCAAGCTCATCGTGGTGGTGCGGAACCCAGTGACCCGTGCCATCTCTGATTACACACAGACGCTCTCCAAGAAGCCCGACATCCCAACTTTCGAGGGCCTCTCCTTCCGCAACCGCACTCTGGGCCTGGTAGACGTGTCCTGGAATGCTATCCGCATCGGCATGTACGCGCTGCATCTGGAGAGCTGGCTGCGCTACTTCCCGCTGGCCCAGATCCACTTCGTCAGTGGCGAAAGGCTCATCACTGACCCTGCGGGTGAGATGGGGCGCGTCCAGGACTTCTTGGGCATCAAAAGGTTCATCACGGACAAGCACTTCTACTTCAACAAGACCAAAGGATTCCCTTGCTTGAAAAAGACACAATCGAGCCTCCTGCCTCGATGCCTGGGCAAGTCCAAAGGGAGAACTCATGTACAGATCGATCCCGAAGTGATAGATCAACTCCGGGAATTTTATAGACCTTATAATATTAAATTTTATGAAACCGTTGGGCAGGACTTCAGGTGGGAATAAACCACCAAAGGGCTCTTCCCTCATCTCATTCATGAAGTTTGCTGCCTGGGCCTCTGATGTTCCTCTCTTAACAAACTTCACCTCCAGTCCCTTTGCCCATCCTAGGGTCCACTGTTTTGAAACCAGGAAGTTCCCAAGGCCAAGGCCAAGAGACCAGGAGGTTCCCTGCCACTGGCTCTCACCAATCTCCAGGCAGATTTGATCTGCTTCTGGCACATCCATTCAATTCCCAAATTGTCTCCCTTCCATCAATAAGAGGCCTTGAGTGGATCTTCCAATGACCATGGAAATTATAAGTGGTGATGGTTTTGTTGCTATGAACACAACTGTCTGTTCCTGTCACCACCCACCCAGGAATGGGTTTGTTAATCCCAAGTGGCATGTACTTCCCCTCTGAGCTTAATTCCCCAGAGCAGCCCTGGGTGGTAGGACGGGAGAGCATCCTCAGTCCTTCTCAGATCTTGCAGAGATTGCAAAGCTAGAAGCACCCCTTTGATGATGATATAAGGCAGTGATTTCAAAACCTGTGGTGTCAATGTGCTTGGAGGATACTGTCTTTGAAAACCACTTTGTGATTCACCCTGCTCCCTGTGAACAAAAGCACATAACTGCTGTTACGGGTACTTTCCTCATGCGAGCTTTCGTGTGTAGCATGCGACGGAATCATGCTTGTCCATGTGAAATAAATATGGCTCTCTCGTGTCCTTAACACTGAACTTTGTAAGCCAGGCATATTCCATGTTCCATTCATTCAGCTCCTCCTACCAGAAGGTGTAGCTGGTGCCCAGAGAGTCTGAGGGAGTAGTGAGCAGTACAAAGATCAAATTACAGGAGGGAGAAGCCTGAGTACAGGGGTAGAGGAGCCCAGAGAAGCCTGGCTCAGAAATATCACACAGAAGGGGCTGGGGATTTAGCTCAGTGGCATAAGCGCCTATGTTTTAAGAAGGCAGTTGTGGGTTCGATCCTCGGTACCGATAAAAAGGAAAAAGACAAAAAGAAATATCACATAGAGATCTGCACAGATTTTTTTTTTTTCTGAAACATACATCTGACTGGTAAAATTTTTACTTAGACATTTTAGATTGCAAATCCCAAATGGAAGGTCTGAAGGCTGAGGGGACAATCTTATCTTTTGCTTGGCTAGCATGATGCTTTGAAATAACTACAAATACTTAAAACTAGAAAAGCTAGAGACATTTATATAAAAATATGGACACCTCTTCCCCGCCCCATTTTGGTACCAGTTATTGAGTCCAAGGCCATGAGTATGCTAGGCAAGTGCTTTACCACTGAACTGCATTCCCAGGCCCTTTAAAAATTTTGAGGCTGTGTGTTGCTAACTTGTCCAGCCGAAGTTCCTGCTTCAGTATCCTTAGTAGGTAGGTTACGGTCATGTGCCACCACGCCTAGCCTCAGCTGCTGCTGCATTTTTTTCTTTCTTTCTGGTGTTTTGTTTTGTTTTTTTCTTTTTTCTTTCCATATTGGAGAATAACCTTGGGCCTATTTCACTGAGCTACATCTTCAATCCTTTTTAATTTTTTTTTATTTTGAGATAAGATCTCACTAAATTGTTAAATTGCCCAGGCTGGATTTAAACTTCTGATCCTCCTGCTTCAGCCTTCCAAGTAGCTGGGATTACAGCTATGCACACTATGTCTCAGCTCAGCTTATATGTTTTAAGTGGTATTTTGGCAACACAGAGCCTGCACTCCAGCATGACTTACCACCTTTAGGTGGGGCCTTCACTCCCTGCTTCCCTCTCCCAGTTTATACCATCTGCCTGGCTCCTGTAGGCATCTGAGTTCCCAACCTTGAATGTGTTGGAGAACCTCAGAATAGTGTCCAAACTTTCCAACACGGTGCCCAATGTGACCCTAACTTATGATTCCTGGCTCATCTCCTGCTTCTTCCTCATCCTCTGCTCTTCTCTCACAGAATTATATGCCTTTGCTTACCTCCAGTCTTGACCAAGACCCTTTCCTAGAAAGGATTCTCTCCAGTATCACTTGCTTGGTATTTGTGAAGCTTTCCCTAGCTTATCTACTCACTCTTCTGTGTTCACCTAGTAGCTGTACATAACTTGATGCCAGCATTTATTACACTAGATTATACTCATGTGTAAATTCTCTACCATAGACTGAACTTGTAGAGGATTAAGCCACTCTTGCTCACCTAGAGTAGGCACACAGGAACTGTTTGGTGGATGAATGGAGAGGTGAATAGATGTTGGAGACCTGACAGCAAAGCATGTAACTGCATCCCCAGTAACTGCATTTCTGGGATTTGCTTCCCAGATAGTTTCAGAGCACAAGTGGCCAGGGAAGGATTACAGAACCCCAGGAGCCTCTTAGCTTTTGTCTGCTCTGTCAGGCATGAGCAAGATCTGACTACTTATAAGGGAGATGATACAAAAACTTAGTGTTAATTCTGTGTCTTGTCCTATCTTTCTGACCTGTAGCTACACTCAAAGCATCTTCGAGCCAAGACATCAAATGACTGGGCTTGTGGTATTGAGCATTCAGTTCTTTGAGTTTGCTGCTTTATGCCTCCCATGTTGGTATAGAGAAAGGATAGAGAAGGAAGTGAAACCATTTTGCTTAGAATCTGGGCCCCTGAACCCCTGGTGATTAAAAGAAGATGGGTTATATTGGAGACGTTAATAAATCACCCTTCTATATTCCCATCAAAAGCATTTGGCACCCTGGGGTACTGATCCATGTAATCACCAAAGCTATAGCTATCCAAAGGGAAGCAGAACCATCCTGGAACATAAGAAAGCACCCTGTAAAAAATTAGTGATATATGTGCTATTTATTCTGATTGGGAAGACTTCAGTCAGAATTGATGAAAATTCTGGATTTTGTGTGAATAAACACAGCTTTATTCCTTTGCATTAAAGTGTTCTCAGACTTCCCAGACTGAGTAGCTTCCCAGTTTTAATGAATAGGTTGAGTTTCTTATAATTAGCATATCAATCATTGTATGCAAATAGAAGATGCTAAAATATCTTAAAAATCCTAGTTTAAATGAGTGAAATCTGTAGTCCATGAATCTGCTCAGCAAACTGATTTTTAATCCTGTGCAAATGTACCCTATCACCCAGGGTGCCCCAGGGCAAACTCACATAAGTTCCAAATTAGTAAGGTTTAAATAGATGAAGTTTGACTGAGACTTCAATCTGAGACTAAAAAGGCTCCTCAGGGTGTATTTGTGACTGCGTGTGCATATTTGGCTAAGTTGCTGAAGCAGAGACCCAAAATAGCAGTGCCTTAGAAGAGTGAAGTGTGATCCTCTGTCACTGGTAGCTCAGGCAGTGGTGGTAAACCTATGGCTTGTGTGCCTCAGTGGATCATGTGTATCATTGAACGCTATGCAAGGTTCACTAACACTGACTAAGTGTGTGTGGGTCCACAAAGCTAGAGACTTAGAATCCTTGCCTCCAAGTGCCAGTGATTCAGGATGGCTCTTCTATGACTGTAGCAGAAAGAGAATGAAAAATGAAGAGACCACCCAAAAGGGAACAAACAAGAGCTACTGATTCCAAGTTTGCTACAGCAGGAATCTTTCATTTGACAGAACCTCAAAGGCTGGCAGAGGAGGGGAAAGCTTTACAGGATAAAGGCAAAGCTTCAGGTGTGTCAGTGTGAGACCTTTTGCTGTGGAAGCTGGAAGCAGGCTCATTGGGAGTGGGCCATCTTCTGTGATTGGCTTAGGTCTGTATTGGCTTTCTCTAGTGGGTTCTGAGTTGCAATCAGAAACACATAGAGGGAAGACAGCAGTCCATAACCAAGTCCTGACCATTCTGGGCCACTTGCTGTAGAGAATATGGGCCCAAGTTTCATTGTCTTCTCATCTAGCCATTTTTCCCTTGGCACATTCAGTCTCTCAGAAGTAAAGAGGGCCACAAGATGAACACACTTCTTCCTTTTGAAGTTGCACCATCATTTCTATCCACAGATTTCTTGTATTGTGAATCCTTCCTCTAGAGTGGTGCAAAGGAGTGCTACTACATCCCTTGGGGAGACTCAGTTCTTTGATCATGCACTTAGATGTGGGGGAAGCTGGGAAATGTAGTCTTTCATTTGGGTGGCACCATGCTCAGCTAAAGCAAATGATCCTCTCATACCAAGTGCAGAACAGATATTGACGTATACCTGGTCTTGGTCATAGACCATTCTCCATATAGCAAAGCTTTCGGGTATGTCTGGCCCTTTCTGTAACTCTGGGAGTGTCACAAAAGAAAATTCTCCATTCATGTGGAATTCTACCCCTGTGTCAGTCCTGCCTTTCTCCACCTTTCTCTGTCTCTGTCTACATACAACATGCTGTAGAGGTTTGCCCAAAGAGGGGCCCAAGAGGGATTTTAAGTCCCACCTATGCTCTTTCCTAGCTGCATGACTTTGGGCATATTATGCAACTTCTCTAAACCAATTTTATTATCAGTACATTGGCATAAAAATTGTACTTATGGTGAGAGGCTTGTTGTGACAATTAAGTGAGAAAACACTTGCCTGGCATAAAGTAGGTTCTTAAAAGGAAACTCTTGCTTTTTGGTTCCTGCAGTAGAATCTACCATGGATCCCATCTTCCTGTCAATTTAGATCAACTGCAGCTCCAACAAACCAGCTTGTGGCAATTTCCTCCATCCTTTCTCCTCCAGTGTACCTTGAGTCAATTATAGCCCAGGCTCAACTGGATACTCTCAACTGGTTCATCTGATCTCTAGGCTCCAGTCTCTGACCAAATTAACCCAACATCCATTGTCTCTAGTGTGAGGATAAATTTTAGCTTGCTTTTTAGACACCAGAATTTAAATAGCGTTATATCTTGCAAGAAGCTGAAAAGAATAATGTGGTTTGTTCTGTTACCTGGACAAAGAATCTAGTAGACGAGATAGATAGATAGATAGATAGATAGATAGATAGATAGATAGATAGATAAAAATAGAAATACATCTTTTAAAGAGTCATCATTAGGGTTTTATCCATCCAGCCTACACTTAATGTACACTTTGGTGTTCTGGCCAGGCACCAGAAATGCATTACGTGTCAGCCTTCATTTTGGCCCGTCTATGAAGCTTGAAGATTACTGAAGGTGAGAGTCACACAAATGAGTAATTGTTATATAATGTAATAAACTGAAACTATGTGGTGAGGAGACAGGAAAGAAAGAATGTCTTAAAAGATGAAATGAGTAAGAATTGTCATCTTCTGGAGAAACATGTTCCATGACAGTATAAAAATCCCAGCAGGTATGGTTTTCAAAAGTGGATGTGATCAGGACCAAGGACACCAGTTATGGAACTTGACTTTGAACCCATCTCTTTGACATTCCCATCCCACTCTCAGTTTTCCCACATATCCAAGGTTGTGCTCGGTCCTGTCTACCTGTACAGAAATACACACCACTCTTTTCTCAGGATAAAATGAATTACTGGTTGACTTAGTCTTCTTCCTCAGTGGACTTATGCAATCTCCTCTCCTTTTAGGATCCAGCACCACAGACCTGAAAAATCAATTTAGCCCAATGGACTAAACTGGGTATCTCAGTGGCCTCCTCATATTTTGACAATGACCTTGACAATGAGTTTCTCGCTAAATATGGAAAATATGCTATTTCTATCATCAGAGGGAGGGGAGCAAGAATACACGTCCCCAAACAAACTTATAACAAATCCTACCCTATTTTTTTCTAGTGCGAAATTAACATACAAATG